GGTTTTTCACCTAAAAATCAACCTGGGCAGAGCAGATCTGACACTCATCTAACGTGGGACACCCCTAGGAGCGGCTGCTCCAGGGCATGAGCCACCACTTCCCACGACTGGGCACACACGCTGGTCCCTTGGGGGCACCGGGTTGTGCCCGAGCATCACTCCCTCCTGTGCCTTTGGTTCACACCTTCCACAAAATCCAGCCCCTGGAAGCTGCTGGTGACCCCAATTCCACGCTGAGGAAAGGAGCACCCCCGTTCACCAATGGGTTTTTCCTCCCCCGGCCCTCACGTAGCTGATCCTTGAGCTGTTCCCGAACGGGAAGGCACCACGTCACGCTGCCGGGACTCGCCCATGCCTGGCGCTTTCCCCACCTCCTGCCTGGGGTGTCTCCTCTCCCCCTCGCCTGCCACCAGCGCTGCCCGTAGGATTTCCTCAGGAAGGAGTTCCTGAAGGCTCACACACACAGAACAATCGGCTCTAAGCCAACACAAAGCCCCATCACTCTCCTCCCGAACACCAAAACGTGCCCTGAGCAGACACGGACCCTCCTCCTGCTCACCCCCTCGCAGATCCCTGTACCCCAACCTCCTTAACACAAGTGTCAAACAGGATTTGAGGAGGCACCTGAGGATCCCATCTCGCCCCCCACCCCAGCATTCCTCTCCCCTAGGGAGGGGTGATTCCACGGATCCAGACACACCTCAGCAAGCCCAGCTACAAAGCCTCCCAGACGATGGGTGGGGAAGAGGCACCCCAAAAACTCACCAGTTTTGGGGCATTTCCCCTAAGAGCAGCATTTCTCCACATCACTCCTTACATGGCACCGAGCCTCAACACTTAAGTGCAGCCCCAAAATAGCCCAAGGTGGGACCCAGGTGGGACTGGGACACCTGAGCCCAACCCATCCCCAGAGCTCCCCCCTTCTCAGAGGGGACAGAGCCCACCAGGCACCAACTGAGGGAGAGGAGAGGATGAAGCAGCAGTCCCCAAAATATTCCCCTCCAAGGGTTACCATCCCACTGCATCCCTTCCCATCCCTTCTCCCCATTCTCCTCCAAAGCCAGAAAACCCATTGCTGCTGCTAAAGTAAATACCAAGAGCTGCTATTTTTATCCAGCCCACGACCAGGCGTGTGTTATTTTTGGTGTTTAAACTGCAGGCTTTTTTTGTGGGAGGGGGAGAGGGAGGGGAAAAGGCAGAAGCATAGGGGAAAAATGAGAGGAATGTTTCTCCGGGAGCAGAGTTTTCCATTGCTTACTTTAAGCCAGACTGGTGTCTGCAAACAGAAATCACGAGCGGAGGAAGCAGCTGGGAAGAAAGGTGTGATCATGTCTGCAGTCACTTTGCTTCTCCTCCCATCCCACCATGCCGAGAAAAGCCCAAATAAACTGGCCCTGGGTACCAGCTGGGTGTTTTCAAGGCAGGAATGAAGCTCCCAGCTGTGTAATGGGGAAAACTGGTAAATAAATCAGCTGAATCCAATGAAACAAGCGGGAAGCAAGAGAGTGTTTCTATTTTCAGTGCAAAATGAGTAGTGTTTTCCAAATTAAATTAGGGGTTGAGGGAACTTGAGAGGAAATGGAAATTATCAGGGGGGCTTTTCAGTATGGAAAGGGCTTTGATCTCACATGGAAATAAGGAGTTGGGGAAGGATGGATGGAAAATGGGCTGGAGGTGAGATTTGATTGTCGGCTGGTCCCACGCCTGGGCTCAGACCGACAGCCCATGATGTGACAGGAGCTGGCCTGGCATGGGCTCACTGAGTTCCTGTGCTTGAGGGGCACCAGCAAGCAGGGAGACGCATAATCAGGAGCTGCGGTGATTCATCAGCGCCTGAGTCATGGCTTCCTCCCGCCCAGTGAAGTTTCTGAGAAACAAAGCACTATTCCTTGGAGCCCAGATATGCTGCATGCCAAACAAAACCAGGAGGTGGCAGGTTCAAAAATCCCCCCAAAAACGTACCTTTTATCCACTCCATGTGGGAAGGAGCCGTGGAACTCCTCGCTGCAGGAGACATCCGCAAGGTCAAGCATCAAACAGTGTTTAGATTCGTTCAAAGCATCTCCTGTGGACCACTGTGGGATCATAGAACAGTTTGGGTTGGAAGGGACCTTTAGAGGTCAGTTATGGGGAAGAGCATGCTGGATTAGACAGTGGCCTGACTGATGATATTTGTTTATTCTTGCATTAATTCTGTGTTTCTTAAAGTCTACCCAGTGCTTCCCAACTCGGCTTAATGGTATCACTACCCTTGATGGCATCAAGACTCTCCTCTACAGGCAGCAGCATCCCAAGACACCAGCACTGTCAGTGCCTACCACCTCTGCCACGTCACCACAATGCTCCTGCCTGAAGCCAAGAGGCTGCTGAAGCACCAGGCTCAGAGGGGCCCCCAAAAATCCGGGGAAGGTGCCCAGACCGGCAGCTCCTCCCTCGGTGAGGCCCCTGCCAAATTAAATTAGTGACAAGAAAGCTGGAGCCCCAGCAGGGCTGTTTGCCCAGGGAACAAAGCAAATCTCCCAGGCACTGGGGACAGACAAGGCTTTCAACCCCCAAGCCCAGGGATGGGCACCCCGAGCCTGCTGTTTCCAGCCATGCTCGCCCTTGGAGAGCTCTGATAATAAATATTTCCAGGTGATCCTACAAGGGGGGGTTCAGAGGTGATATTATCCTATCTGGTGCTGTACAGGGGCCAGGTGTCCCTCTGTCAGCACCCAGGTGGCTCCTGGATGCTCCGGGAAGGTGGTTTGAATAGGAGGATTTGGTAGCTGCAAATGAGGGAGTGGCTGCAGCTCAGTGAGGGGAAAGAGGTGGGATGGGGTGAGATGTGGCAGGGAGAGACAGGATGGGGTGAGCTGGGGTGCAGTGAGGTGGGATAGGGTGAGGGGACAGGATGGGGTGAGCCAGAGAGAGGTAAGCTGGGATGCAATGAGCCACAAACAAGATGCAAAGCCCAGGGATCTTCATTCTGAAACATCAAACCAAGGGAAAAGTTCATGGCGTTAACAATCAGGAGTTCTTTAGGGAAAAAGGGTTTAGTGCTTCCCACAGGACACAAATGCTCTCCCAAAGGCCACAAGGAGGCACTTAGCACAAGCTGTAGCCTACAGTGTGTGTTTCTGGGGGTCTCTCACCCCTCTGGCCCCAACAGGAGGATAAAGGCAGCAGGTGGGAGGGCAGCAAGGGCTGGCAGACAACTTGCCTCCATTCCTCCACCCTCTTGTCTGTCCCTTTTCCCTCCTATTCCCACCACAGCATTGGTCCTGGTGCTGCCAAGGCCCAGCACTGGGAACATGGGGCTGTTTTCCAGCAGCCTCGAAGGGTCAAGCAGCCCTGACGAGTCGGCGCCAAGGCTGAGGCGGAAAAGCAAAGCTGCCGGCTCTGGAGCATGAAGGAGGGCAAGGAGGGCAAGTGTGGGGGGTTTTGCAATCCAAAAGGATTCGAGCCAACCAGAAAAATTCCAGTAAAATATTTTTCTAGTCGCAGCTTGCCCAGCTGCCAGCACTACAACGCTGCACGGAGGCTGCTCAGCCCCGGACTGGAGAGCAGATGGGATCTGGTGATTCCTGGATATCCCTGAGGTGGAGATAAAAAAGAAATGAGATGGAGAGAAGGCAGCAAGTGAAGGGTGGGGGTAGAAATCCAAATGGAACCAGGATCACAGTTTAAAGATATTGAATCATAGAATCACTTAGGTTGGAAAAGCCCTCTGAGATCATCGAGTCTAACCCTCAACCCAGCACTGCCAAGGCCACCACTGACCCCCTGCCTGGGCTGAAACATCCTTCATTATCCATGGGTGCACAGCACCCACAGTGCTGCTGGGTGTAGGGGCAGCCTCCAGGGTGTCCCCTCCCATGGGGATGCTTCACCACCTCCTGCTTGGCTGCAGTGTCCCCTTTCCAG